GGTCTGTTTTCATTTGCAGGTAGTTTGTTTTTTTTATTTAGCTTGGTCTGTTTTCATTTGCAGGTAGTTTGTTTTTTTTATTTAGCTTGGTCTGTTTTCATTGTCTGCATGTACGATAAGTAAATCTTATAATCAATTTATCTAGTGTCTTAGTGAATCTTCCTAAGGTGTAATAATTAAATAATTTTGCATTTTTTTTGGTTTCAAGTTCAATTTGTTGAATCTAGATTAATGATATTTAAAGAAATAGGATGATCTTGATGGAAGGACTGATTTCCTTTATTCCACTTTCTTTTTTAAGTTTTAAAACCTTTGAAATCTAACTTTATTTTGCAAAATACAAAAACATTTTTTTTTGTAAATTTCATTAAGTAGATCCAAAAAGTATTTTACTTAATGTTTTCTAATTTTTGCTTTTTACCCTGACTAGCTACTTTATTAAAACTCTCACTTAATGCTGGGTTGGATCACCTTCAATCCAAATTACAGCCTAGACTTAGCACGGTAAAGACTCCATAAGAACTCAGAAGTTGTCTTATTAAAACATAGTCCATGCAGCAAGGAATATGATCAGCAAAAACTTAGTTGCAAATCCAATGTTCAAGTTTTTCCCAAAGATGATCAGTCAGATTGTGATCTAGTATTGCTCTAGCCAAGTAAAATGATTAAAGTCACTTACAATAGATTTTGGATTGTACAAGTATACTGTTTTTTGCATTATTGTCTCAGAAGAGTTGTAGTCAGTAAGACTGAAAATGCAGCTTTGTGAGATGAACTTGATTGGCAACAATGAATAAGTATTCATTGTATGTTAATTACCATCCTAAAGAAAACAAAGGACCCAAACTGCCACAGAACACTTCTTACATGGTTACCTTGTAAGGAGTGTTCTTGCATTGTTGAGTTGTCTGTTGAAAAAGCACTAGCGGGTCATTTTCATCATAATTTTTTCATATTTTCCATATTTTTACTTTACAGTGCAGGTAAGGATAAAATGCACCTTAAAAATGTCAAACCACATCACATGCTTCTAGTCATTTACAACCAAAGTTCTTACTCTATGTGCTACTGAAACCATTCTTTCCTTTTTGTATCTCAGATAAACAGTTTTTAGACTGATTGTTTACTAACCTATGAAATTTTTTGTGATGCCCTTTGTCCGCTTTGATTGAAGATGGTCAAAATCCAGTCATTCTTGAAGGAATTAATCAACTGTGATACAGTCTGAAATCTGAATTGCTTGAAGATACTTGAATCCTAGTCAATCTTGAAGAAATAACTCAACTGTGATACAATCTGAAATCTGACTTGGTTGAATATAATCAAAAATTGGTCACTCTTGAAGGAATAACTCAAATAAGATGCAGTCTGGCATCTGATTTGCTTGAAGATAATCAAAACTTAGTCACATTTTGAAGGAATAACTCACATCTGCTTTTAGTTCAAGATAGATAAAACCTGGTCGTTGTTGAAGGCAGTGCTGAATTATGATATTCTGAGACCCTAATGTATGTCTAGTTTAAGAGGCCCCATATGATAAGGAAAAATTGAAATAAAATCGTTTTTTTCTTCTTTACAGGTGGTTAAGAAGCCCCTATATTGTGAGGCTGTAACTTAACTAGCTTATGCTTTAATCTGGCACTAGGATGCATCATGGTATTCATTTCATAAGCATGTCCAGTTATGTTTTCCATTAGTCTGCTTCCAGAAGTTGGAGGTCACTGTATTTTTTTAGTGCCAGGTGAACTTCTTTTCAGTTACACTGCTGATAGACTCTTTGAGCAAGATGTAAAAGAAATGGTCTCTGTTAGCAAAGTTTCCACTAAGTGGGCACTTACTATCATGCAGCTTTTAAAGTTGGAGAAATTCTAATTTTTACTCATTGTCTTAGAGATTATTCATGATATGACTACATCTCGTCTTCTGTGGATTATTCATGATATGACTACATCTCTACTTCTGTGGATTATTCATGATATGACTACATCTCTACTTCTGTGGATTATTCATGATATGACTACATCTCTA